GAATGTATAAGCACATTTTATCAATTCTTCAATTTCAAGCCCATTGGCTATTAATATTGTTGTTGATGTAGTTGTTGTTGTTATTGTTATTGTTGGTGCTGCTGCTGTCAGCGAATTTATTGTTGAGATTTTCCGCCTAATCGTTGATATGTGTATTGAGTATTCTGATATCGAGAATGGCTACTTGCTGGCTAACAAACAAAGCGAACGTATGTCAGCTGTGCTTTTGTAAATTTTTGTTGTTGATATCGACATGTTGCGATTCTTGCAATCGATAACAGCAGTATCATACGCACGGACGCACGCACGCCTCACACAACACCCCCACCATCCCCACCACCCATGCGACAACTGATCACTTACTGAACTAAACCACCAACAAAGACGCCCAACTACATGAAGAAGTATGTATGTATGTATGTAAGTTTGTTTTGTACATACATATGTATGTACGTATAAATAGAAAACATTGCCTGTTGGAGACCCCCACAACAAATTTGTATGTACTTTGGCACCCAATTGAGCGACGACGACAACGGCGGCCATTAGCAAAAGCAAAAACAACAACACTTACTGTGATAGCACTAAGTAACAGCAACAAAGACAACAACACCAACATGAAGAAGACACAATTTAAAGATTACAACAATAGCAACAACAACATTCAATGACAATAGAATCAAGCAATATGAGTGATTGAGAGAAGAGAGAATGAAACCAAGCAGTTGTTCTTCTCGTTTGTTATTGTTGGTTTCAGTACAGAGCGAAGCGCAGCTCAACTGAGCGCCAGTTCTTTATTGTTGTTGTTGCTGTTGGTGCTGCTGGTGTGGGAGATAGCGAAGCGAACGAGAAACCAACAACACTGCGAGTTTTTGTTGTTGTCAACGTTAATGTCGTCGTACAAAGGCAAAGCAGCCAAGTGCATATATACATATACATATATATATATACAAGCATACACAGAGAATTCACTGACACTTAGAATGACAGACAACTGGACAGACATACCCACGTATTGATACACACATACACATTGATACACACGCATCTATAATACAACAGAGCAGCAACTCATGCATATGTATGTATGTAGTATGTTATGTCTATGTGTACAATATTTATTTCGTTCGTTTGTTCATTTTTTAAACAACTCAACGATAACAGGCAATAATAATAAGCAGCGTCAGTAGCAGGCAGCCGCAACAAGAACAACAAAACACGCAAATAATTTATTTATAATTTTCTTCGCATTATTACTTTTTTTTTGCTTTTTGATATTTCAACTTCAACAAAATTAATGAGTTGTTGCAATGAGCACACAAATGCACGCACGCGCACAGTCAAAAAACAGTCAAGACAAACGCCAAGATTTGAAAACATGTAACACTTAACATGCTCGAAATCGCAAATATTACCAAAATGTTACGGTTGCAGTTCTCTGTCTCTTAGCGTGGGTGAGCGTCGGGTTTGCATGTGCTGTTAGTCCTCTGACTGTATCTCTGTCGATCTACTCAATTCTCCTATGCTACCTATGTATGTATGCCCCGAGCTAGCATATTAATCGAATAAAATAATAAGGGTATTCTGATTGATGTTTAGGAATTGAATTTAATTAGTTATTCCGTAAACAACTTTGAAAATGCAGACTTTAAGTTTATATTGTTTAGGTTACTAAGGGGCTGCTCTTCTTGCAGTAACTAATTCGGACATTTATCGTATTCTTTGCATTAAACCCATAACTAATTGTGTTGCGACTAAAGTATTGATGGATAAATCAATTGCCAGTAGTTAAATCACCCAGCAGTGAACAGCAGCACAGCAAAAACAAAGCAGAATCAGTCAAAAGTGGTCGTAAAGTCCTCTGTTTAAATTTTGATTTGATTTAAATAAAATCGAATCTTTAACAACAAGCTGGAATACCCTTAATATATTGAAGTGGCCGTTGGACTGTGAGGTGTTGTTATTGTGGCCACAGCCTTACGACACTTTGAATGTTTGTATGTAAGTGTGTGGAGCTGCATGGTTATTCCTATACTGTTGTCGAGTTGTGGCACGTTAAAAAACAAATCGACACGGGTCTCTTTGGTTTCTGGCCTGGCCACGACGTTTGTGTTGTTGTTTTAGGTAGGTAGCGAGCGATAGCGTTGCAGCAATGGCGGCGGGACATGCACTCACACACACACACATACACATATCCAAGCGAATGGACGGACAGAGGACGGAGGCATTGGGTTGCCGTTGCCTCACTCTTGCTTGCCGCTGTTGTGTTATCGCCTTGGCAGGAAATGGAATTATATTCGTATTCGTAAAAGTAGTCGTTGCTGCTGTTGCTGCTGCTGCTGTCGTCCGTCATCATCGTCAACATTTGTAAGTGAGCCCTAGAGGTCCGGGTCCGCTCTCCTCTCACCCTTAACACTTTGTCGCCCTCGCGTCGCATGTGCATCACGTAAATATATATATATATGTATGTATTTTTATATGTGTCTGTATGTCTGCAATGGATAATGTTGCACCGTAATATGATTATAGGATTTGATACAACGAGCTAAGCGTTTTGGCTTAAGGAGACAACACCAACCAACATAACGAGCGATATGTATATAATACATACATACATAATACATACATACATAATACATACATACATACAATTAAAACGAATGTATAATTTCATAATGAGTACATACATATACACTTGTATATATGTATGTAAAAGAAATGCAGCTTCAACAAGTTGAAATCAAAAGTTATTTGAAAAAAATAAAATAAACACGGAATAAGGGTTTGTCAGCCCATATTACCAACAAATACAACCGACAAAGAAAGCATGTTGGTGTTCACAAAATATAATATACTATATATAGAACTTACATTACAACACACAAATACTCCTGTGGTATTTTGAAATAATTCCAGGCAAATATAGTAATTCCAAAAACAATATTTTGTTGAAGCAATGCAATGTGTTTATTCAAGTTAGAATCAAAATAAATTTTAATCAATAATATTCAAAACCGGCGTCTATTATTTCATTTAAAATACATTAAATATATGTCCCTACCTGCGTAAACGTTTTCATCATAATACTAACTGTTATTTTATCAGTTTAAGCCTGAAGTGGCTTTAATTACACACACCATTATTCATATTTTTGTTGACGAATAACATTTCAAAAATGTATGCGTTCCACACAAAAAACTTAATGAAAACGCATTTGCCCTTTTTGTCGCCTGCGCCTTCTTCTTTGCAGACAGCAGTCGCTGCCTGCGCCAACGCTAACGTCACCGTCGGCTCCGACGCTGCGACACAGATCGCATTGCTTGCTCGCTGACCACAATACGCGACCAAAGCAACAGTACAACTATTAAACAACAACAACAAACAAACAAGAGCAAAAGTAACAACCATAACAAGAATTGCTCGGTTCGTTGTTGTTGGTGATTTTTGATAGCTTTGGTTGCTGCTGCAACAGCAGTTTTTTGTTTTTGTTTTTTTCCATTGTTTGCTATTGTTGTTGCCCTTTCGCTTTCGGCAGAAAATTGTTGTTGGCAGCCGCCATTACGCAGCCTGCGATTATAGAAAATCCCATTAATCGATAACAGGAAGAGTGCCAGGCAAAATAAAAGTAAAAAGCACAACCAATTAATGAAATAGAAATGAAAATAAAACGGAATTCAGTTTTAAGCTTTATCGGGCAACCACCTTCTTACATGCATATGTATATATGCATGTATGTATGTATTTACATTCCATGAATGCATGTATGGGTCCGTTCGTATGTACATATGCATGTTGTTGGTTTTATTTGACCCCCTTAACCCATTGTCGTCGACAACTGCATTTTTTCCTTTATTTTAATTTTTGTTTTTTGTAGGCAAATTTTGCAACCAGGTGCAGCTTGCTTGGAACGCCTGGCAACAACAACAAAAACATTAATAAAAAACAACAACTAGGCGTCGAGTTAATGACATAAACTTTGCACGTAACAACTGGCAGCGAAGCTAACGCCAACGCAACCGCAGCAACAGCAACAGAAATTCAGGCGATTCAAGCAACTTTAAACTTGCCTTTTTGTCTGGCTTATTGGCTGGTTGTTGTTGTTGTTGTTTTTGGTTGCTTATTATTATTGTTGCCTGCTTGCTGTTCGACTACTACTCGTATTGAAAGCAAAAATCACTAAACAAAAATCCAAACCCGGAACTGACTTAATCGAATTTGTTGCCGATCAGCACACACACACACACTCAACACCAACAGCTGCTGCCTCTGCTGGCGTCGACGTCGCCACTAACTCCACACGCAAGCACATTTTAATACATAAGATGATCATGAGGCGTTTTTAATGATGTCTCTGTTGATGACGACAATGTACAATAACAGTCGCTGTCGACATTTTGACGTCGGCGTCTGTCTGCCCATTTGAACTGTTACGACAACAATGTTGCTGCTGCTGAAGTCCCTCGTCTCTGCCTCTCTCTCATTGCAAAAACAAACAAAAACGTGTACATACTATATATTGAAAAAAATGGCACCTGCTAAAAAGCCTGTTCCCAATTATCATCAATACACATATTTAACAGTTGCCGTCTTATCACAAATGTACTGGCGTATAATTTTTTCAACAGTTTTATGAGTTCTTTCTGAGTGTTTACTAACCAAAATAATTATGAATCAGCGTGTTTTTTTTGTTGATTCGGCAAATAACAAAAACCACGCAAAAAATGGCAAGTGCAGCTATGTATATACATACATATGTATGCTCGTGTGTGTGAGGCGGAGATATATGTATGTATATGTATATACATAATATGTATGGAGAGTGAAGTGCAGTGTAGAGATGACCAGTGCTGCCAAGCAAGGAGCCTGAGAGCGCAATCGCAACAGGCAATAGCGCAACAAGTAATAGGCAGCACTGGCAACAACTCTTCTTTTTGTAGTTTAATGATCAAAACAATGAATAATTAAGTATTCATAATTACTAAAGAAAATTCTCGACTTACCGCTGTTTGAAAAATGTCGCCGCATTCAAAGTAGTGAGAATTGCCAACTGTGGCCGACGACTTTTGTACAATTGTCGCGGACATGTTTGTTGTTTCTGTTGCCTGCTCCTTCGCTGCTTGGGCCCAATCGTATTTAAAAATTATATGGAACACTGGATAGCAATTATTCTTTGTTTTGAGTTTTGCTTTTGCTCTATTGACTTTGATTTAAACAGCGGTTTGAATTTGTTTGTTTATTTGTTTTGTTTTCCTATGCACTTGAACTATTGATGATGTTGTTGTTTCGCCGGTTACGTTTCGAATTTGTTGTTGCTTAATTTGTGATTTGTATGTATGTACATATTTTCTTGTACTGTACGGTTTAGTTTTTTTTTATTGCTTATCAACTTTGCGCGTACTGCATGTCAACAACAAGCTATAAAACAAATGGGAGGGGAAGAGGGAAAAAAACGTCACATTAGAATACGAGCTATAGGTCGGAGCGGCGCGACACGGAACGGGGCGATCCACAAATGCACGTGCTCTGTATATGTATTTCTACATAAATGTGTGCGTGTGTGTGATTGTGTGTTGCACGTTGTCTGTTTATCTGCCAAAAAGGATTGTTTTTATTACACAACAACAAGAAAATGAAAGAAAATTTGTTCTGTTATTATCGCTAATGCTTAGATTTTTTGTTTGCTTTTTATTACTTTACTGTGTTCCTTCCAAAACACACACGATCTCGTCCGTTCGCGCATTTGGGCAAGAGTGTGAGTGCACATGTATGTCTGCCTGTCTGTATGTTTGCTTTGCTTTTATCGTCTTCGTTCTTAGCAGATAAGCTTCGTTCTCTCATTCGTCTGCTCGTTTGACTCGCGGTTCTCTATGTACGTATATTTGTACGTATGTATGTACATATGTATATGCATATGTGCCCTCTAGTGGTGGTCGCATTTCAGTTCGTATCATTTGTATGTAAGTTTGTGTGTATACTTTTTGTAGCTGCGCAAGCAGAAGTAGGCAACGCATACACCGACAAAGGGACGGGCAGGCAGGCAAAGGCTGACTGTCATTGCCGTTTTTATTCAGATTCTTGTAAAAAATTTGTCCCCAAGGATTATTTTTGATGGAGTAACAGTCATTTTTATTGTTGTTGTGTGTTATGCCTATTTGATCTTGACTAGATCATATATACCGCCTTAATTTGCATATAATAATGCATTTAACTGTCAATCAATTATCCTTTTTGGCAGACTTTGGCATCGCGATCGACAGAGTGGACAATCAATTTCGAAAAATGCCCGCGCACCCGCACACATACACACACGCATCAAAGAACATGTATATTGCAGGCAAGCAGCGCGCAATTGAAACGCAAACAAAATTCAATTGAATTCAGCAGCAAAATGAATTGTGTGGAAAAAATAACAACAAAAATTATAATAAAAGCGAAAACAATGACTATAAAATTGCACTCTTGCTGATATTTCAGAAGTTTTCATCAATAACAAATGCCGTCGTCGCTCAGACACCGCATCGCGTTCCGCGCACACACCACTTAAAAAATTCAAAAAAACACAAAAAAAAAAACAAATCACAACACCAATCCACACTTGAATCTTACTTATGGCCACTGCTTCCTCGGAGCACAACCATACGTTTTGCCGTTCGTTCTGCGTATGAAGTCCCGATCTTGAGTGGCGTGAGTATAAATTGGAATTTTGGTTAGGGCATCGATACAGTGTGCTGCCAGTGCTGCCCATTCGTTGCTGACGCTGGGTCACACTTCTAGGAACGGCGATGAAATAGCGAATATGGCATCGATACTATGTGAATAGAGTGCTGCCCATCTGCTACGGTGTCGGGCGACACTTTCCGTAAACCGATGAGCGATAGCAGGCGTTTGCTAGTAAATCAGTCGCATCACTAACGTGGGCAACTCTTGTTCTTGTAATTCTTGTTAAAAAGAAATTGGGAAGTTTGCTGCCTTGTGCAGACTTTTACTGTTTCTTTTTGTTTTACACGCGTTCGACTGGCACTTGCGGCCTACGGTGCACGTCCGCACAACTACGCGCGAAGCAATTGACCAGCCAGCAGCGTGCTTTGCCATTTTCCCTTCAGTTTCAGTTTTGTCGCGCAATTGCAGTTGTTTTTTTTTGTTTGTTGTTTGACTTTTAAGAAACGCTCGCACACACTCACATCCCAGCGAACAAGCCATGGACAAGCTGATGAAAATGAAGAACCATCGCTCCGAAATAACTGTGGGCGGCAAATATAGAATCATTCGTAAAATTGGTGAGTCTAACATCTTTCTATCATCGGTCATTAGTCACACATACACATGTACATCGGTTTTTGTTGTGGCAATGCGGAGCGATATGCAAGCAACCTGACCGCTAACGAGATGCGAAACGCAATACACAGGCTCATGCTTAACAAAACAAACAAGCTAGCAAACGAACGTGCACCTCCAATGATGGCACCCGTCACCTGACACTTGATTTCAAATGATTTATTGTTACTGTTTTGATTCGCGGGTACTTGCAGGCAGCGGCTCTTTTGGCGACATCTATCTTGGCATGAGCATGCAGTGCGGCGAGGAAGTGGCCATAAAAATGGAAAGCGCTACGGCCCGCCATCCACAACTGCTGTACGAATACAAACTATATCGTGTGCTGAGTGGGGGAGTCGGCATACCTCGCATACGCTATTACGGGAATGAGAAAAACTTTAATATTCTTGTCATGGACCTACTTGGTCCCTCCCTCGAAGATCTCTTCAACGCTTGTACACGTCACTTCACCATCAAGACGGTCCTAATGCTCGTCGATCAGATGATCGGCCGTTTGGAGTATGTGCATCTAAAGTGCTTCATTCATCGTGATATCAAGCCCGATAATTTTCTCATGGGCATCGGTCGCCATTGCAATAAGCTCTTCTTGATCGACTTTGGCCTGGCCAAAAAGTATCGTGATCCACAAAAACGTGCCCATATCCCCTATCGCGAGGAGAAGCACTTGACGGGCACGGCCCGCTATGCCTCAATCAATGCTCATGTTGGCATCGAGCAGTCGCGTCGCGACGACATGGAATCCCTCGGCTATGTGATGATGTACTTCAATCGCGGTATTCTGCCCTGGCAGGGCATGAAGGCGACAAACAAGAAACAGAAATACGAGAAAATCTCCGAGAGGAAAATGTCCACTCCGATTGAGGTGCTCTGCAAGGGTTATCCGGCTGAATTCTCAATGTATCTAAGTTACTGCCGTAGCCTGCGATTCGAGGAGCAGCCAGACTATATGTATTTGCGTCAACTCTTCCGGTAAGTGGATGGAATCGTAATTGCAACACAAGAGCCCATTTAGTAACTTCTCCTACTTCTTCAGCATTTTGTTCCGCACACTTAATCATCAGTATGACTATATCTATGATTGGACGATACTGAAGCAGAAAACCCACCAGACACAGCAACAGAATGCGGGGATAATGCTAACACCTGAGCAGCGCGCGGAGCGTGAGAAGGAAAAGGAAAAGCAGGCCGTTAAACCCACATTGTCCGACTAATCGCTGTCGCACAATGTACAAAGATCACAGACCCAGAGACAAACATGCACACACACACACACAAACACACACGACACAATAACATGCTATATAAACTAGAAACTGTATAGGAACGCAATGCGAATTATGCGCGTTTAGTTCGACCTCGTCTCTGACCATGCGTCCAGCTGACAAGTTCAATTGTACAATTGACGCCAATCTCAGCCGCACTAAGATGTTTAGTGTGGAAAGCAACCCACTCTCCCCGCTCCCTCTGTCCCCCTTACTTCACCACGCACCTTTAAGATGCATTCAACACTTAGCCCAACACTCGAGCAAAACAGACAAGGACAGAGAATAGGACTCACGTTTTTTTGATCGGAGACAAACACACATAATATAAATATGTTGAATGTACAGCTCAGCGACGTATGGAAGGTAATCAACAGAGCCAGCTGTACGAGTTATCACATCTCTACATATATACTCGTATATACACATATATATATACATGATTAGAGCAGATAGTTTATTTTTATATGTGAAAGCAGAAGTCGCGAGAGGAGAGCTGAAGGAGCAGTTAATATGTGAACAAAATTGATTCTATATAGGGATTGATTGAAAAATATATATATATAAAAAAAAAAACACAAAAAGAAAAAGATAAACCAAGAAGCATTCAAACAGCTCGGCAGACAGACACATACATAGATATGTACTTAAGTCAAGCTTTGATTTTGATTTGATATTCGAAGGGACAGAGACACACTTCTGCTCACACATGCACACAATCATACGTATATGAATACTATACATATATATATATTCGTATTAATCTATAGTTTTTAACTTTGTTATCAAGCAACGATAGACTGTGGCATGTTAACGTACCCAGTGGATCGTAAAACTGACTCAGACAGACGGACAAACACATCTCTATGTATGTATATCCTGTATAATCATAAGGCATAACACTCACACACACACTCACCCCCATATATACATACAAAAAATTAGTTGTATTAGTCAAACAATTATGACGAAAGAATAAGAGAGAGAAAATCATCATGTTCTGCAAGGAGAAACGAACACAAAATCTTCAATTTAACAAATCCAAAAACAAATCGAAAACAATAATTAAAAAAAAATTGAATAATAAACAATTTGTCTTAAGTTTCGCAATCATATGTATATTGAGAACGAGTGTAAACCTCTTCATACTCTCTACATGAAATGTACAAGAGTGTATTAGGTTTGCGGGAGGTGAAAAATGTAACAACATGACAAGACAAGTCGATCTAGTCCTGTCTGGCTGTCCGTTCGTCCGTCTGTCCGTATGAACACCTGGATCTCAGACGCTTTAAGAGCTGGAGACACAAAATTTTGCAAAAAGATGCCTTATGTATGTACGCTACACGAGTTTGTTTTATTTATTTTTTTTATTTTTCCCTCAAACGCCGTTCGTATAATCACCTATATCTCGGAGACCATATCAGCTAGGGACACCAAATTTTCGTCCAAGATGCCTTATATGAATACGCAGAAAATGTGTATTTTGGAATTTCCCTCGCTTGCCCCTCTCCCCCGTAATCGCCGTAACTCCCGTATTTCCTGGAATATTTCATTGAGATTCGGTAAATAGTTAGTGACTATGAGTCCGTGTGCCAAGTTTCATAATGATAGGCCGATTTAACAGGAAGTTATAGCCATATATGTATATATGACCAAGCAGTGCGCGCAGCTGTTCTTGTTGTTACTACTTTACACGGCACACGAGACATACACGCATAATTATTGTACACATATGTACAGAGTATTCCAAAGTCGGGGCACCCGACTTTAGCTTCGCTACTTGTTTTAGTTTTCAATGTTATAAGAATTATGAGAAACGCGCAGCGGTCCGCCCGCGTATTGTGAACTGATATTTGCCCTCAAAAGGGACAAACAAAATAAAATAAAAGTAAACAAAAAATAACAAAAAACAAACAAAACTTGTAACTTTATGAAAGAAAAGATTACAAATAAAAAATATTTAAAAAAATGATAAGCACAAACTTTTAATATGTGGTTTAAGGACAGTCATAAGTCAATTGCCAATAATTTCTAATATATTGGCTAAGAAGGAAATAACACTCATTCAATGAGAAAGAAATAACATTCAATGAGAGAAGTCCCTCCAATGTCAGCTTTATTCATTGATAGTGATATCAATATTCATTTTTCAGGGGATATGTTTCTTTCCTTGCTCGAGAATATAAAAGCACCATTGTGGAACCATGAATCAAAAAACAACGATTGCTGGCATTTGCTAGGAAGCAGTAGAATTTCAAAATTATTAGAATCCTGACCCCTCTAACAAAGTTATATAGCTTAGCAAAATTTTAGGCAACTACATACATACATACATATGTATATACTAGTAGTGCACCGATTTCAACAAAACTTCAGAATATAGAATATTATTAAGAACTCAATCAAGGTTATTTCGGTTGGGATATCCTGATAAATCAAAATGTAATGTAAAAATAGCTATATAATAATATAGTGAAACGATTTTGATAAAACTTCATAATACCATCGGGCAAAACTCATAGCCACTAAATTTGTTCAAGATATCGTTAAAAACACAAAAGTTAGGCTACTAGGATTCATTTTTGCACCGCTCGTGCCTAAAGCCCCTATATTAAATATTTAGGGGAATATATGCTTTGTAATAAGTTTGCTTTGTGCATAGATAAGACAAGGCTATCTATACACGCAATTTGGTATCTATAGCTGATATGGATCGAAAGTACTCGACGTTCATACAGACAAACCTGCCTAAATCGACTTGCCCTGTCATGTTGATCTTCTGCCCTTTAAATATATAAATATCCTTCTTCAAACATTCATTAAGAATTAGGCGTACTTATCACTAAGTCTTTGTTTACCATATTATTGAAGAAGTCGAAATCGTTGGTCATCTATATCTAAGATGATGGTACTTCATCTTATTTAATGGGTCAATAATCAATATCGATAGCGCTACAATCAACTGAATTATCTAAACTGTCAGTTGTGTGGTTTTCGAAAGATTTTATCATCTAACCCTTCGTTTTTCTGCGCCTAAATATTGGTAAGCTTATTTCGAGTCTTGTCTTAAACTACCGCATGCTATTCGGCAGCTCCTCCCGAGATAATGTTCTTATCTCATCTGTGCAAAAACAGAGCAAACACAAATATTTTGATGTACTATTTTGGAAAAGAAACTAATCGCAGCTTAATTCTAACAAATAAATATAATTGTCCAAGTTTCTGGGTCTATCTGAAGAAAAACCGCCCTTTAAAAGCTATAGGAGTCATGTTATGAAATAAATACTGATGGATAGGGTAATTAAAGTTTCTAAGCTTGCTAAGGTACAAATTTCGGGATTTCATAAGCTTTTATGGATTTTTTTATGGCCCGAAGGTATAGATGCCTTCACAGAATACTATATATCTAAGTAACCCTATGTTAACTATTAATTAAATATTTCAATCAGGATCTATCTGAATAGAAATCGGTATACTCCAGACGATTTACAGCACTAAATAAAATGTATAGTATTCCAAAAATATCCCCCCTATTAATATTAAATGTGTAGTAGAATCAGATAGGTCGGGCTCTTTCGGGCTCGAATGGCCGATTACTTTTTTTATAACTGAATGGGGAAACTTGGGTGGAAATGTCCCTCGCCTTTACCCTTCACAGAGTATAACTAAGTCACCCACCTATTAAAACTATTATTTAAATCTTTCGAAAACCCATCTCAGGCAGCTATATTTGATTATAAGACAGAGTCAGGGCCCACCTGAAGAGTGAGATGCCCTTACATGATAGCTCTTGGTAGATAAGTATTTCGCACTTTTTAACCCAGTCTGCGGACAGTCCACGTCCATCTCGAAAAGCTCTATTCAATTTTAATTTCAACATATTTATTGATGTAATTCAAAAAATTAAATATAAGTTATATTTATTGCGTCACTAGCATGGGCTGTTCGCGTCCACCTGTGATCATTAATTTTTCGGCCTATATGCAAAATTACTTTGCAGTTCGCCATTTCTTGTTATTATTTGTATTATTTCATAATTTGTATCTTCTTTCGCATTCGCTTTGCATTCATCGCGTGTTTACCTTTATTTTAGCTTTTATTTTATTGAGTTCTCTTTGTTTTTTTTTTTTTATCATATATATTATCATATAATGTTCTGTTGTTGTGTATTTGATTTTGTTTTTAAATCATTTTTTATTTTATTATCGATTTCTTGATTTCATTATTTGTTTAATTTTATATATATATATATATATAGGCTTGTATATATATATTTACGTGAAACATACATACATATATATGTATATACGCTGATAGATGTACATACATATGTATACATACATCTTTCTCTCTTTCTCTTCTGCTTTCTATTATAATATTCTCATCTCGTAATTTATTATGCTAAGTGTTTTGTTGTTGTTGTGGGCATGATGTTCAGTTGTGTGTGTGTGTGTGTGTGCGCGCGCGTGGGGGGTGTGTGTGTTTCGGGGGTGTTGTTGTTGTTTTTGAATGGTCTCGCATGTGTATCTGTGTTTTCATTCAGTGTTTCTTTTTCGTTTTTAATTTTTTCTTTAAGATATTTGCATTTGTTTGTTCTCTTATTTGTTTAGTATTGAGTTGAAATTAATATTGGATTGGGGAAAAAGAAACCCACTTTTTGTAACATTGAAGAAATGCGTCGATTTTTATTCCTTTTGGCAAAGGTTCGCTGATGGAGATGCGAACCTTTAGTTTTCTTTTTAGAGGGGGAGAGTCCCTCATTTCCAATTAGCCCAAGCATAAAAAAATGGATTTCTTTTACGTCCCACACCAATATTAAGAAACTTTCTATCTCCCGCCGCGATGTTTGTTGTTTTTGTTTTTTAATGTTTGTTGTTGCTGTTGTTATTGTATTTTTCGCTCCTCCTCTCAGCTTAAGCGGACGCCCGGAGAAGGGCGCACACAAAGCCCAACTTTAGTCAGTGACCAGAGGTTTGCCGTTCTGTTTCTCTTTCTCCTTATCGCGATCGTTGCGCGGCTCGAGCTGCTCCAAAAGTATAACTGGATTCGCCTGACCCTGATGGGTCTTTTGCTTAAGCATTGTCCAGTCGTAGATGTAATCGTATTGATGGTTCAGCGTTCTGAACAGTATGCTGCGAATATACGAGAGGGAAACAATTTATAAATGCGTGGGTTAATACAGTCCAGTCCTATGATTCTTCTCTTGCAACCTCAGAAATTAAAACACTTTCTTTAATGGGTGGTTAATGCAAGTCTATAGCTTAATCGGACAGTTTGATAATTTGTAGACAGACTTACATTTCTAGCTTATTAGAGAATAAATTATTTGGATTTGAAAAACGGTTGCGTTTTCCGTTTGAGAAGTTACTTATTGCATCTCATTTGAAGCTCGATAACTGAATAGTTTTCTGGGGATATGAAAACAACTACTCTTTTGGGTTTATCACAATACAATCGAATTCACAAACGGGCAACAGGCGTGTTTATTTGTATTCAACGATGTTTTTCTATGTAAGAATTTACGATACTTTGGACATTGGCTGAACACTAACTGTACGAGCTATCGAAGCTATACTCTGCATTACTTTTCAGAAAAATTTGTCGGAAAAATGTATTTTTCGACTTTAATGGTTTATATAGCGTTTAAATTGGAGTTGATTGGTCGTGAAAGGTCAAAAAGAGGTCGTGTATTATTTACTTAACGTGACGACTGCCCCAGCGATCGTGAAGCTAGTGAGAAGGTCACCATTCAAAACTTAATGAATGCAGAACAATTTGCAAAATAAATAGAGTATAGTTATAGCTAAAAAAAATATCGAGATCATATCAAATGAGCAACAATGGAATTTGCAAGGACACGAAGCATAAACAAGAATAGAAAGTTAGAAGAGTGGTGGAGCGGGACCCTATTCTGGGTAGAGGGTATAAAAAGTAATTATTTGTTCAAAAAGAAAACACACCTTCAAACCACTTGAAATATAATTTTGGTATAAAAGCAGCAAATGATTCCAGTCAATCAATGGCTACTTTTATGAAGAACCCAGAAGTTTTGCGTCCTAGTTTAAAAAGCGACATTAAGTCATTACCACACAGAGAGTACTATGCGTCGTAGGTTGTATTTGAATTGCAGTGTAATATTTAATAGGCTCGCTACACTTTCCGATCGAGAGCACATTTTCCCAAGTTGACATGGGCAAAAAGAATGATATTCTTAAATGCATTAAGGAATTTTCTCTCGAATATATTCAAAAAAAATCCCTCCTCCAATTTGTAAAAATTGAAGCTCTTCCACAAATTCAATTGAATCTAGGAGACTTTTCGGTGGGCATTGCTTATAGAGAATATCAGACTTACCGGAACAATTGACGTAGGTACATATAGTCCGGCTGTTCCTCGAAACGCAAACTACGACAATAGTTCAAGTACATGGAGAACTCGGCCGGTGAGCCCTTGCACAGCACCTCGATGGGTGTGGACATCTTCTTCTCGGAGATTTTTTCATATTTCTGCTGTTTAGTGTTGGCCTTCATACCCTGCCAGGGCAGAACACCGCGATTGAAGTACATCATCACATAGCCGAGGGATTCCATGTCATCGCGACGCGACTGCTCGATGCCCAGATGGGCGTTGATCGATGCATAGCGGGCCGTACCCGTCAAGTTTTTGTCCTCACGATACAAAATGTGAAGGCGCGAGAGTGGATCACGATACTTCTTGGCCAGGCCAAAATCGATCAAGAAGAGCTTGTTGCAATGGCGGCCGATGCCCATGAGAAAGTTATCGGGCTTGATATCACGATGAATGAAGCATTTTAGATGTATGTACTCCAGGCGGCTAATCATCTGATCGACCAGCATTAGCACCGTCTTGATAGTGAAGTGACGCGTGCAGAAATTGAAGAGATCCTCTAAAGAGGGACCCAATAAGTCCATAACTAACGTATTGAAGTTTTTCTCCTTGCCATGATGGCGTATGCGTGGAAATCCAACGCCACCGCTCAGGATACGATACAATTTAGCTTCGTACAATAGCTGGGGATGGCGTGCATTGGCACTTTCCATCTTAATGGCAACCTCCTCGCCATTCTGAATGCTTATTCCCAAGTAAATGTCGCCGAACGAGCCGCTACCTGCAATAAAAGATATTTGTGTGGGTGCTCCAAAAACCTAAGTACATACATAATTCGCTCGAGTCATACTTACCGATCTTGCGAATGACTCGATATTTGCCACCGACAAGTATTTCGGACCGATTGTCCTTCATCAGCCGCATCTTTTCCATGGTGGCTGATATGATGGACCTGTATGGGCGCCGTCTGTGTGCAGATGGTTGTTTCAATAAACGTGAGAGCTCCGCAAGAGACTGCAAAAGATTTATTTGCTTAATTGTGTCAGTGAAAATATATTTAAATTGAGTGCTCAGTCGAGTGTTTGAGTTTTCAGTGAAGGGATGCTGGCTGGATGGCTCGCTATTTGGCGCCTAATTCAATAACCAAGCCAATGCTAAAGCTTGAATCGAACACTTTCTTTTTAGGCCATAGCTCGCGCTTGTGACGTCGTCGCCACTGTTGTTGTCGCGACTACAACGGCTACGTCGTTGTTATCTGCATTGTTTTGTTATTTTCTCTTTCACACTTTTTTCTACTTTGCTGCCAAATCCAAGGCGCAATACTTTTACATTTATGCTTTATTTGTGGCTTATTTGTGATGGTGATGGTGGTGGCTCCAAAATGAACCCTTGCGCCCATACATCTATGATGGTTTTTTTTTAAAGCGAATTTAGAAGCTTTGAATCGATATTCCCAATACTGCGCCGCATTTTCTCGTGGTAGCAAATGCTGCAGCAGCATATGATCCAAAAAGCAACAACAACAACAAATGCAGTATCGGGTGCCACTTGGCCAGTGGCATAAACACGAAACGTCGCAGTCGCCAATATATCTATGTGTGCATGTGTGTATGTAATTTGTATATTGTTGTATGTAGATTTCTTTTGGTTTTTATAAACACAGACAGATAAACAAAACCATGGAGGCGACTACGAGACGGCAGTCACGACAACGACGACGACAGGTAGTACCTACTCGCTTCTTTTTACCCCGTTGGAATGCATATTACATACACTGTGACGCACATACATATCTACATATGTATGTATGTACATACAGACACACAACACCAACCAGCCAGCACTAGCACTTGGGCATCGATACACATGTACATGTACACAGACACAACACACACACACATACATACACAAATACAGTAGCAACAACACGCACACAATAGCATGCACAGAGTCTTTACTTGCTGACTGCACCTTACATGTTGTTTTTACACAAAAGAAAATGCATATTTTGTACACTTTGAATATTTGAAAAACACACAGAAATCACATATTATTGTGCAGGCAAGATGCACATTATTTGTCGATACTGCGCGCAAATCTTACCACAAACGAGTGAAACTGTTGAAATTGCTGTGTTGGGTGTTTCTCAAGGTTGGCTCTTCACTAAGTAGGGGAAAAAAAATCGTAGCAAATCTTTGTCTGTGGCAGCAAGAGTGCTCGTTATTGCACGTGAACCGATAGCGGCAATGTTTTAATTTTGCACTTCGTTTGCGCACGAGAACAAAATGGGAAATATATGTACAAAACCTCAACAATTGTATGTAAATTAAATGATAAAAATGGTCTCCAGCCAGCTTGTGTAGCCAGATGTGCGATAGGCCGGCCTATCGATATCGATTTTGTCAACAGTGGCGAGCAGTGCTGTGTATATGTACATACATCGCCAGAGCTGAGCGCCAGTTACTAACACTGCTCAGTCAGTTACATGTTTTTAATACACAATGCAGACTTGCCCCACCAAGTGGTTAGTCAAGCTTTAGTGGTATTCCTGCAAGCTTTTTAGATTTAGAACGAAATCAACACAGAAGCTGATTCAAATTTAATTATTTGATATTTAACAAAATGAATTCGATTCTGACCTAGTTGCATTTAACAAGCAAAGCATTTAACCGATACAGATGTATCCTTCGGAAGTCGAAGCAAGTCAAATTACTAAAAAATTATCTTAAATTAGAAAGTTATAGTTAATAATAACAATATACATATCTATATACATATGTATGTACATACACATGTACATATGTCTGTACTTCCAATATGGCGGCGTCTCATATTGGTCGCTGGACTTTGCTTTCATTTAAACGCAATAGTAATAGAACATAAAACATGTTAATAGAGGGCAATAAAAATAACTTGCCTTTTAATACAAATTTTCAGCAAATTTGTCTCGTTTTGTAGAGCATCCTTCTTGTGGCTCGTTAAGCTCAAATTTATATCACCACTATCACAATTCCCTCAAATCTCAAATATTCTAAAGGGTTACGATCTCATGGATACACAATAAGAGTTTTTGGCCTTGGCCTGAAAACGTCTTTGAAGGCGCCAAGATTCCACACATACATGTGTATGTATGTATAAGTACGTTTACCACAAGAAGACGTGTTTCAATACATAGCTGGCACGACATCCTTTCCAGCCGGAAGATCAAATGAAATTAAAGAGTTCCGCTCTCACAACTGCTAAGTATGGCGGAAGATTAAACCGCGTTGTGATTATCCTTTCCCACCAACACAGCGATTCAATTATACTTAAAGCTCTCAGAACGGCTAGATGTGAAGTTTCTAAGCGCCTAGACTCCACATATACGATTACTATAAAATTAAAACGAATGCGATTTTAAATTTTTTCTGCTTCCGTTTAAATGTTTGTGGGCCTTTCCAACAAAGGCAGCAAGTAATTTAAGCTTAAAGCTCGCAAAATGGCTATGGCGGTGCTCTCGTTGTCCTCATTTCCCTTTCAGCCTGTAATGGAGTAGATCGCCCCGATATCATCTTGCACATTTGGCAAAGTTTTGTTCTTGTAATTTCGTTCACATCATTAGTCCTCAGCCGTTATCTTACCAAGTTGTTCGCCACCGGACGGTTTAAGGTCAAACAGAGCCCCTCTTGACTTACAATAGACAAGGTTTTGTGTGATTTTAGTATAACACGTAATGTTTTAAGTATAAACAGAAATTAAATAAGTGTACTTTACTCGTAATGTAGTAGAAAGTGTTATAAAAGCAATATTACAATAACTGTGGTAGAATTGGCTCCTAAAATAGATATTTTACAACTGATACCACTTTTTGTCTTTATATTTAAGCATTAATTGATGCGCTGTGCCGCTGAAATCTTGAGCTGTATTGGCCATACGCTCGGCGCGCTCCTCCAACAAATTGAGCTTATCGCCACGCTCCATGGCCAACTGATGCGCACGGCTAATTTCCGATGCGGCTGTGGAAGCACGTGTACCAAGCTGCTCCAAAGTGGGACCGGGTATGTGCCGTGCAACGGAACGATTTGCCTTCCCACTCTGTTCACCAACTGCGAAGGAAAACGAAGAATAAATAGATCAACATCTACATATATAGTATGTATGTATCATTTATTGAGGACTTACACAGCTCTTCGCGATCCAAAAGCTTGGTGCCGCCGCCAAATAGACCCTTAAAGAAACTCTCCTTCGGCTGTTCGGGCATTTCCTGTGCCGTATATAGTTCACCCATCATCTCCAAAATAAATTGACTGTGTGTTTTGAAATATTTTAGTATTGATTGATTGAGTGTTCGATTCGATTCGATTGAAAACTCACCAAAATTCCGATGATATCGTGAATTTTTGAATTTCGGTGGGCGATGCCATGTACAATCCATGACCTTTATGACTAAAGCAAAATATTTTTGATATTCTGTGGGGGGAGAGATGGGTAGTGAGATGAAAAAAGTATATATTAATTGATAATTGAAGATCCAAAGAGTCGCTGATCTGATCTTCACATACTGAGTTGTATCTTCATGAACAATGATCTGTTGACCCCATATCGAAAGCATTGGATCCACAATTCCCTGTTTACATTTTGTTTGAAAACTTTTGGGAGATGAATGCAAAGAGAAGGGAATACAAAGGGAAAAACCAAGCATATTGATTTACATTGATCTGGTTGCTAATTAGCTTTGCTCACCTTAAGTCCATAAGCGGTAAGAAATCAGTATCCAATAACAGTTTTAGACTAGGAAGACTATGTACCATTAGATGGCCATTCGAAAGATAGGTTGCTAAGCAAGAGCCATCTGTGGATTGTACGGTAAAAAAAAATGCGGAATCGTCTTTAGTCCTTCGAACACAACAACAACAACAAGGGACACTTACCTTTCATCGTGATAGTTTCTGCCTTGACTGCAAAATCCATTTCCGATAATTGTATGCGATTAATGCAGCACTGATTTGCCACATCGAAGACTTTTGTTTGCTTTTCGCTAGCGATTACGATATATTGTCGATCGGTGAGTGTTTCCAGGCCGGTGCTTACGCTGCCGCTGATGCCGCTGCTGCTGGCGCTGCTGCTGCTCATGTTGGCGCTGCCGCTGGCGCCGCCCACCCCCGGAACACTTCCAGCACCGCCAGCAACCGAAGTATTTGATATTGTATTGGCAGTTGTTGGTGTGAATGTGGGGCTGGTGCGGCTGCTGCTCTTTGTGGGTGTGCCTGCACAGGTAAGGGATTTCAAAAGAGAACACATTAGAATCAACTTTTGATACGATCTATTGCCGAATAAATTACGATCTTTCTTGTCCTTGTTCTCATCACGCCAGGGCTCAAATGTATAGGGTATAAGGGAACCGTATGAGTCTAAAAAAGACATGGAAGTTATGGAACCTTTGAGTCGTACAACGGGGCCACCTGGAAAACAGAAAGAATTATGTATAAAAAATATATAAAATAATTAGCTATTTAAATGGTCTTATATAAACGAAGTTGAATGAGAAAGAACGTAAGAGGAAAAATAATATTAGGCATAAGTATATAGGTATTTAGTAATTCGTCTAAAGAACGCCCTGACTAAAAGAAGAGGTAAGCTTCAAGGACGCAACTAAAGAAAGCATGAGCAACCAATTTTCACGTAGGGATATGAATCAGTTTTAGAGAATATATACAAATTAATGGATAACCATTTACTATAAACCGAAAAACTCCTAAATACCGATATATAGGAAAAGTAAAACAAAAACACATTATTGTGGACAAATACAACTTGTTTTTAAATACTACATCATAATTTAATTAATTATTTGATTCTAAAATGTTCTTTTTTTTTACTGTATTGTCAGTTCACAAAGCAGCGCACATGCCGAATAAAATTTAGGGAAACTCGACCCAAAAGGGGGGTACAATCAGGGTCAAATTACTTATTAAAACAGACAAAAAAGCGCTTTGTCACAACTAACTGAGGGGCAGGTGGGTCTTTTATCACGGACTATAAGGAAGCTAACAAAAAATGGGAGAGAAACTATTTGGTAACACGGGATTGGGCTTTTCTCTCCAACTCGACTTCTCACAATTACATATTAGTTACTAGAAAGGGGAAGCTGTTTACAAATTGTTTATCAAACTTACCATTTATTGTAATTAAAACGGGCTGAGATTTGCGCACATCGCGCTCCGGCATTGTGATGAACAATGTCAAAATTGAACCGAAACTAGTTCCAATCCACAAAGTAGGAACGAGTGTCAAAATATCTGTAAGATGGAAGAATACCAAAAGAAAGGGAAGAGTGTATGTGTGTGTGTGAGTGTGTGGATGGGTGGGTGGGTGTTTATTTGTTTTACACATACTATAGGGTGAGGAGAGAAAATTGTTTTTTGTTGTTGTGATCACCTACCATTGCGTTTTGCATAACTCTCAATAAAAGCTAAACAGGTAACAGATTCAGAGGAAGACATATCAATGCTGGACATTGAAGACGATCTGGATCTCGAGAATGTGCCATCTAATTTGTCTGGAAGAATTGTGTATTGTTTAAGAGAGAGTGAAAATTAATATGTTTCATCATAAAGCACACAGGAGGGGAATTTGTGAAATTTAAAGAGATAGAAAGATAGATACAGATAGGTAGAAGTAGGCGAGCGAGAGAGCGAGAGCAAGAAAGTGAGGAAGATAAATAGAGAGTAGAGATGTAGATAGAGAGAGAGAGTAAAAGCGGCGGGCGTTTGTAGGCAATCAAATTTTTGCATTTGCTGCACTTTTTTGTTCACTATTCTTAGGCTGCTAGCTAGGCTGCTATTTGCTGTTGTTCTTGTGATTGTACTTGTAGTTGTAGTAGTAGTTGTTGCTGTTGTATTTGTTGTTAGCTGTGTGGATGCATGGTTTGCATGTGTGAGTGTGAAAAGACTAGCCGTTCATTTGCTTTCTTTTTGCCTACGCGACATGCAGTAACTGTATTTACTCTTTTTTAGCTTTTGTGTTTTTTTTTAAGTGGAGGGAAAAGTGTGACGTTGTGTTGATGGGTGTTGGCGGTGATGGTGGAGGAGAAAAAAGGAGTTGGGAGTACAGTCGTCAAGCGGCAGGCGTCGGCTAAGGAATAGACGTTGCGCGTGAGTGTGTGTGTGTGTGTGATGCTACTGTGTGTGTGTTTTTTATGTGTGTGTTTGCGTGTGTATGTGAACTATGCAAACACTTTGTTCAATGCAATAAAATTGTTGCTACTAATTGCAGTTGTATTTTTGTTTAGTTTTCTTGTTCATTTTCATTATTTTCTTTGCGTCTTGCTTGCTAATTAAAAGCGTGCAAATTACCGAGAGATAGAGAGAGAGCGAGCGAGCGAGAGAGGTTATTATAGAGAGAGTTACAGTTAGAATTAGTTAGAAAGTTACAGAGAGATATATAGAGACATAGAGCAAGTGAGATAGAGATAGAGAGAGAGAGAGAGAGAGAGAGAAGGGAGCGAACGAGCGAGCGAGCGTGGTGGAGCAAGGCAATCCTAAATTGGCAACTCTAATTTGACATTTGCACTGCACACTGCCGCCCTCAACCCAAGCCGCCCCGCCCCGCGACCCCACCAACAAAATATATATATATTTATATATATATATATATGCCTGTCAATAAAAAACCGCAAGCAACGTGCAAGGTGTTATTTCCTTAATTGTATGTGTGTGTATGTGTGTATATATGTATGTGTGTGTGTGTGTATGTGTGAGAGAGAGAGAGTGGTGAGTTTTTTGCATTTGCTTTGAAACATTGCTTTGTGCATTGCTGATATTGCTGATATTGCAGATATTGCATTTGTTGCTGTTGTTGTTGTTTTAGTTGTTGCTGTATCTGTTGTAGTAGCTGTTGTTGCTTTGCTGTGCTCCCACCTTGTGATTTGGACTTTTTTATGGACTCGTACGATGTCACTGACTGCTGTTGCTGTATAACGGATGCTTGATGCTGATATTGATGCTGATGTTGATGCGCACCTGCAGCAACGGACGCCGCTGTGGCACCTCCATCACCTCCACCACCAGCTGCTGCCGCCTCAGCATATTGGCAGCTGCTGCTGGCATTGTCAAATGATTGATATTGATACTGATATTGATGAGGCATTGCCGCTGCCGCCGCTGCTGCTGCTGCTACTGACGACTGTAGCTGCGGTTGTAGCTGCTGCTGATCACCTGCGCCTTGCTTTGTTTGCTTTCCCTTGGCACTACCACCAATACTAATACCACCAACACCAACAACACTACCAATGCTGCCACCCGCACCTGCATCTTCCGCACCGTACACCATCGAAGATGATGGTCCGGCCTCGCTAGAACCAGACGCTTGCAATTGCTGCTGCTGCTGCTGTTGTTGCTGTTGCTGCTGCTGCTGCTGTTGCTGCTGCTGTAACTGTTGTTGTTGCTGCTGCTGCTGCTGCTGTTGCTGCTGTTGGGAATTGCCAGACTTGCTGCCGGCTGATGCTGCTGCTGTTGCTGATGCTGCTGCTGCTGATGTGGCGGCAACGGCAGCATTTGCATTCGCATTCGCATTGCTGGCTGCTCCGCCATTGAGCTGAGAGATTAATTGGAAATAAACAATAATAATGGAGAGGAGAGATACACAAGAGATAAATGAACCAAATGACACAAAAAATGACAAACTTTTTGTGGTTGTTGTTGTTGTTGTTGTGGTACTTTTGTTGTTGTACTTGTGGTTATTGGTGGTGGCAGTTCTTGTTATACATAATTGTTGTTGTAGTTATTGTTGTTACTAGTTGCTGTTGTAAACATCTAGGCTAGGAACACAATTGGTGTGTATGTGTGTGTGTGTGTGCGCGTGTGTGTGTGAGTGTGAGTATAGGTGTGTGTGTGTGGTGGTGGCTGTGCTTGGCTGCGTTCGTGTGTGTGTGTATGTGTTGCGCAACATAAAAAATAGCATAGCATACATTTTGGGGCGAACGAAACTGAGGCAACAGAATGTCTATGAACCAACACAAAACGGTTTGCTTTTGCAAATGTGTGTGCGTGTCGGTGTCCTTTAATGCACAAAGATGTATTTATGTGTGTGTGTATGTGTGTTTGTGTGTGCACGTGTTTCTGTGTGACATACACAATCTTTTGCTTGCTATGCGCTTCACATCCTCCGCTTCATTTTCATTTCAATGACAAACACAAAAAAGTGACTTAATTGTTTGGTGTGTATGCGTGTGTGTGTGTGCATGTGAGGGTGTGTATGTGTGCGTGTGTGATTAAGCTTAGTGCAAATGGCCAAAGAGTTGTTGGTAAGGCAACAATTTTGGTTGATTTTTTTTTTCGTTTACAACACATAAAGCGAAATGTTTAAAGAGCTTTTTAAGTTAATTGGATTTTTTTTTTGTGTGAGAAATTTCTGAGCATACGAGTATATATGTATGTATTATGTATGTAGAATAATTAGAATAAGAATAAGCACAGTAGTAGTTTATAGGGAGTATTTTGACGAACATATAAGTATAAAACGTGTAAAATATTTAATTAGACGGCAGGATTTTTTTTTTTTTTTATGTTTGATAATATGAAAGAAAAAAATGAAACATTTAGAAATATATGTATGTACGAGTACGTAATATATTTTAATATATGTATGTATATCTTAATATAGAATGGTTTTTGCTTTGAAATTGAATTGAATATATATGTAGTTGTCGAGCTTAGAGAGCATTATAATTATGCATAAATTGCTGTAGGTTCGTCTTATGTACAGTGAGCTCACGCTACCAATGAAAGCGCAGCAATAACTTAACGAAAAGTAGAAACTAGCGAAGCAAACAAAGCAACGATTAACGTTTAAAATTTGTAGCTTGAATTGTGGGTAGGTGTATGTATGCGTGTGTGAGTGTTAATAGCGTTAAAGCTTTGCACTTTGAAAGAACGAACACAATTATATAAATAAAATATTAATGTAACAAAGCTGAATAAAAGCATTTAACAACTTATGAATTATTGATTATTTCCACCCATTGCCAGACGATAGTACACAGCATCAACAACGATAGCTGCACTCATCAATCAAGCCCACAGACATTTCTCAAAACGGGCGGGCCACATAACCATATCGTAATTAGGGTGCGCATCAACATCAACGACGATCTTGAACGAATAGAAATTAAAAGAGCGGCACAATTCAACAAACGATCGATCAACTGTTTGTCATCTTAGATAATTGCCAGCTAAGACGTGATTTGTCAACTAAACGAATCATTATAGAACGACTAATTGCCTGCCAAAACAAAGACTAAAGACTGATCTTAAATAAGTTACTCTGACAGGTCAGAGTGATTGGTCGTTGATTAATAGACAGCTTAAGTGATGGCTTGCTGATATCTGAGGCTTAACGAGTACAATTATTCGTATTTAATTATTGATCTCAAATAGGTTGCTGATTGACCGGCATTTGATAAAAGGCAGTTCAATGATAATGATCTGATTTGATTGCTAGGCCTGAACAAGTTTAAACAATTAATTGCTTGCCGATCTTAAATAAGTCCCTATTAAATAAGAATAATGTTAATGAACTGAGCGTTAAAGTCACTGTTAATATGCATTCAGAGTCATAATCGTAATAGATTTATAATTTTTATTACCTAAGCCTGTCAAACAGCATAGCACCTGGCCTTATCGTTAAGGATTAGCCTAAATACAGTGATAACCTCCTTAAAATAACAAGTCTACTTTAAAGAGCTGTTAGCTTGAAGTTATTCAAACGAGCTTACATCTTACTTGATTCAAAACATGCAAAAAAGTAAGCGATGATTTATAACAAATTTATCATCTCAAATGATCGTCCATCGGTAAAAACTGAGACTGGTCTTTGCAAAGTGATTGATCTACAAAGAGTTCATGAACCCAGTTGGCAACTGATCTGATGATCAACAAACAGCTGGTTATCGTTTAACCTGACCGCTCAATACAATTCTGCGAATAAAAAAACGGCTTCCCATACAGCCACCAGTCACCAGGTTCCCAGGAAGTCACAGCATATTGTCTTCATCTATATTGACTTGCTTTGGCCCCCTTTAGATACGATTTGATTTCACTTTAAACTAGAGTCACATTAAGTTTAGTACGTATTTAGTGTTGTTGTTGTGGTTTTCGAGGCGTAGTGTGTTGTGTGTTTATAAAGTTAATTTTTTGTAGAGCTTAGACAATGGCAAATGCTACAAACAGGTGGTGACGTACAACAATCAATGCAATTTTATCAGTTCATTTAATAATATTATTTTTGCACAGTGCACAACACACAATCTTTAGAGTAGAGTGGAGTGGAGACGAGTATATAATATACGAGTATATGGGTATATCGGTATATGATTATATATATGGGTGGTTGGTTGTTTTGGTTTGGTTAGGTTAGTTTTGGATTATTGTGAATGTTTTCTATGAGAGACTTGCAGCATTAACAACGGTACCATTATCACTAGAATATGTAAGTAGAGACATATACATACATACATGTACATACGTGTATTTATATATATTTAGTTATGTACATAAAACGCAGAATTCAGCTTATATTTAAGATATCGTGTATCGAATTGCGACACCCTATTTTCTCAATTTGCTTGACGTGGGGTCTGGAGGTTTTATTTTTTTTTTTGGGTGGGGGGTTTGTTCTCTATTTATATTCTATATACATATACAGATATGTTATAGGCGTTTGTGTTTATGTGCTTGTGTGCGTGTGCAGATGTGTGTGGGTGTGTTGTTTTTGTTGTTAAATGAATTACCAAAGAACTTCCATACAATCACATAAAGGCAGTTGTATTGCAGCTCTTCTGCATCCGTTGCCTAGTATCAGTTGGAAAAAAGAAGCATAAGAATTTTAGGGCATTAGAACTTTGGATAGCAACTTTTCTATATATACGTATGTATGTAGTTTTAGTTTTAATTTTTGCAATTTTTTTCATTTTTATCAGCA